ACAGAAGCTCGGTTCCTGGATCTGCCCAACCTGGAGAAGCGCACTGAGTGGTCCTGTGAGAAGACCCTGCTGTCTGCACTGTGCTCTTTGCACTCGCTCTTCTAGTTAGGCTAGGATAAGTCCCAAGGAGACTAGATGTGCTGAGACAGTATGCCATGTCCCTGTAAAGATTGTTCCCACTCTGTTCTGCAAATTTGGACAGCAAAAATGAAAGCAAAAAACAGCACTTTGGTGACCAGAAGGCATTTCATTAACCACTGATAACTTAAAGACTTCAAAGAAAATACAGAAAGTTATACAATAATAGAAAAGCCTTGACTCTTTAACTGAGACAACTCAAATTTTGCATATGACCAGCAACTTCAGAAGGATTATATGAAACAGAAAATTATCTTGCTAAAACCTAGAGTCACCATTGCATAGGCCAACTACCTAAAACTGTAAAGAGGCCAGTTTAAAAGTTTTCCTTTGACAGCACACCAATGCTCCAAAAATAGTCTTATTTTGCATTAAGGTATATTTGTATTAATGCTCAATTTTCAGAATACAAAAAAAATGCTTGTTTTCTTACTTAATTTGAGTCTAAATTCCTTTTCCCAAGTTTCATATTCTATTAAACTCCCACAACCTTCTTAAACCTATTTGTCCTAAAATTTTTTCTCTCGTTTTGAAAAAAAAAATCATTCTACTTTAGAACAAAAATTAATCTATTCCTCAACATAGTAACGATTGAGTATCTATTACAGTTCACTGAGTAGCAGTTTTAATCATATGTATAGATATGATATAAAGGAGTCCCAAGGTAGGCTTACAGTGCCACCTGTACAGTCACAGGTGCTAGGATACAAAAAGGGCCTTCAACACCCTGGAGAGACTGAGGATCCAGTCACGCAAAGGCCTTTAGCTCCCTGGGGCATGGAGATAAATGTGACCTAACATGTATTACTTCCCGTGTCGTGTCTCACAGTGAGGATAGTTTAACACCTCTGTAAAGTGTTTCCATATCTTCCCAACCTTTACAGATGTGTGTGTTCCCAGTGCTTTGGGTAACTCATCAGAGCATGACCTCATGGTCTCTACTCTGGTACCATACAGTCTTCCCTCATGTGTTACAAAGAAATAGAAATTAAATACTGAAAATTTACTGAAATATGAACAGTGTCTGACCTCAGCGAGGAGGATCAGCATTGGAGTAAACTCTGTTCCATGATCCTTCTAACCCCTGGGTGATGGGAGAAAGAAGTCAGCTCACCAAATCTGTTGAAAGACTGTTAGGGAAGACAGCATTCCCCATCTTTTTATACACTGAGCTGGATTTATGTACCAGCAGCATAAGTCCTGTCCTCTCTCCTGCAACCTTGATACTATCCATGACATGGGAAATTTTGAGTGACTTCTTATACCTAGAAGAGGCAAAAGTCCTGGGCAAAATTTTCTCATTTGTGTTTTTGGAAGTCACTGGATATTTATTTTGACAACAAGTGAACAGGGTGGGAAAAGGGAGGATACAGGAAAGAAAGGAAGAGATGAAAAAGAGGGGTGAAGGAGACAGGTATTTTCAATGGCTGCTGTCCTGTCCACACCAGCCCTTTCCTCTGCTTCATCCTCCATCTCCACAAGCCACCCTGAGTCAGTGACTCCATCCTCATGTCCATGAGACAAACCCAGTCCTCAGAAGGCCTCTGCCAACACTGCCTGGGAAGACTGAGCCTCCCCAGTACCCTCCTCAGTGCCTCATTCACATCCTTGTTCCTCAGGCCATAGATGAGGGGGTTCAGCATGGGGTTGAGGATGGTGTAGAGCACAGAGAAGACTTTGTGCTGGGCTGGTGTGTGGGAAGAGTGAGAAGCGTGTAGGTGTCCATGGCAGCCCCTAGGACAGGGTCACCACGAGCCTGTGGGATGAGCAGGAGGCAAAGGCCTTCTTCTCCCCCTCCATGGAGGTCATGCATAGGACAATGGTCAGGATGCAGACATAGGAGGGTATCAGCACAGAGACTGGGATAAGCAGCATCAGCACAGAGCAGATGTACATCACTATTTTAGACAAGATGTCGGGAGATGCTACTGTACTGCAATAATACTGATAAGAAGAGCCGAGTGTATATACTACTCCATACAGCTGCTGAATGCACCTTGTTATAGTGCGAGTATCTCTGAACATTCAGCCTCAGGTGGGATTAAATTGATGTCCTTATGAAATGCACCTCCGTTATGGCCGGTGTAACCTCCATCCTTAAGCACCTTTGGTTCCAGTGACTTCTCTATGTCATCACTCAGTCAATGGTGTGAGTAGTCGAGGCCTTGGGCCAGAAGTCCACGGCTACATCCTGAGCAGACACCTGCTGTCAGGACATCCAGATTGTGTGGGATGAAATGGGTTGGGTGATAAAAAATATATTTGTAAATTCAGATGGAAAGAATCATCCAATAAAGAAGAAATTGTAGTAAAAAACATATTTGGTAATTTTTCAGAAAAATATTTAATGTTAGGATGATGAGGAATTAGGTTAGATCATGATTAGCATGAGCAGTAACACTTAGTATCAGCTTTTAGGATTCAGAGGAAATAGTGAAGAAATATAGATATTGAGCTATGTTCCACATACTAACTTTGGAAATTGGAAAGTTTTTTTTCTAGTTTTTATTGAGGAAAACTCAAATGACTGTGTCTCATATAATTTTCGGTAATGAGAAAGAATAAATATGCAAACAGTGTATGAGAGTAAAGGATGATTTTTCACATTTTAAGGCTATATATGTGCAAGGTATTTTACCAAACTGTGAGCTAAATTGACTATGCTAATCTAACACTCCTCTGAATATTATAAAGTTGAGAGAACTTAAGTCAATTGCCCAGAACAATTATGACACTGGTTATTCCTATTCTCCCAACTCCTAACAGTATCACTAGTGGTGATGGCATTGGGAAACATTTACTCTGTGTCAGAGATGTGCTAAGAAGTGGGTTGTATCTGTTGACGTTTGGTCTCTACTCAGGATAAATTCAGGAAGCAGGGAGCTAGGAAATGCTTCTTTAATGTGGAAATGGTAAATGCAGTGGGTGATAGACATTTTAATCTGTCTCTATTAAACATTTTACTTATGAAAATCATATCATAAATTGCACTGCATAGTTCAAATGCAATTGTTACTTGCCAGTGATTAAATAAATAGAATTACATAAAATTTCAAAGTTTGAAATAAAAATTATCCAAGAAAAAAGATTAAATAAATAGTACATTACCTGAAAATACAGAAATAAATTTAATGTGGAATTTTTATATCTCTTAAGAGAAAAAAGTTCTAGGCAGAAAACCAAAATAAATGAGAGCTTGACTGACAAAATTAATTTTTTAAATCAACACTGGAAATTAGAAATGAAGCTATTGCTTAATTCAAATATTTGGAATAAAAATCTGAGCGGAAAGTCTACATATAAATTTAGGTGGAAATGAAGAAATAGAGCAAGAAACTTCATATAAAACATTAAGAGATTCAGAATTGTTAACTGCATACCTTTGTAAGAGTGTTATTTAAGTATAAAATTTTGGGGGGGACTGAGGATCAAACTCAGGACCTTGCACTTGTGAGGCCGATGTGGTACAACTGAAGTCAATCCCTGGCCTGATGAAACACAAATTTGAAATTTATATTTTTCCCTTGAAAACAGCTATGAAAATGACATAGGTAGAGACATACTTTGAAAAGGCATGTGGATATGTTGATTAGCGTAGTTGGGATAAATAATTCATGATAAATGCAGAAATCAATCAAGATATGCACCTCACACTCACACAATTTTCAATGTCACCTACACCTAGATAAGGATGGAGAAGAGATGCAGCCTCCTCAGTGATGAAACATTGAAAGCTGAGACATCTCAGCCATCAGAGGAGGGTGAGCCCCGTCCAGACCTTCACTAGGACGTGAGCCCTGGATGACAGGAGGTCCATGGGCCAAATACGACCTCCTCTGCCAGGAGCAATGAGTACGGAGAAGGAGGGAGCCTGATGCGCCTGTGGTTCCAGTGCTGGACTGGGGCTCAGTGAGCACCAGAACCTCAGTGCTGAGGTTTTCCCAGACAGGACTTCTAGATGAAAGAGGAAGGAAATTACGATTCAGTTCTGAAATACAAAATTGCTAATGTGCACTTCAGTCACCAGAATGCAGGTACACTGTTGGGAGTGAGAAAAATAAAACAGTTTGCATTTTGAGTGAATCCATCTGATGAGAAAAATGTTCCACACAGTGCAAGCATCGCCTGCCGCTCTCCAGGCAAATCCCTGTGGCCGTCATCATCCCATCGGTCTCTGTGCTGCAAACCCACTCATGTCCTCATGCAGACAGTTTGAGGGATTACCCCGACTACCTCATTCCATCCTGAGCACAGGGAGAAACCTAAATACTGCAAACTACAGATTTTGGAAGGTCAGTTGTTCTATGTCTTAATCCGCATTTAAGTAAGCAAAATAAATTGAGCAGATGCAGCAGAAGGGGCTGGCAAGTGTGTCAGTGTCCTCAGGCTGAGTTGTCCAGCTGTGTGATCACCGTGTTACTTATCCCAGGCTGAGTGGAGCAGTGAGTGAAAACAGTCAGCAGGGTCTCTCTCAGGACCACTAGTGCGCTCCTCCAAGTTGGGCAGATCCTGCAGCTGAACTTCTCTCCACAGCACAGGTGTCACTTCAGGTGGAAAACATAATTCATGCCCTGCTGTTTAGGGTGCCTGTCTTTATTTTCAGCTCAATATCATCCCAAACATTTTCTAAACAGTTCATCAGTATACACGAAACTGCTAATGTTTCATGAAGCATGGAATATACAACAAGCTCAGCATGAAAAATGAAACAAAATTTGTACTTCGTCATAACAACTGCAAACAAGAAGAATAATACAGAGTCAAGTATACCTAGACAGTACAGCCTAGATTCCAGTTTTAAAAACATATATCAAATATGAATTAAACTGCATTCAGTCAATGGATTGATATTTGCATTTTATTTAAGAAAACCCCTGAGAGGGATGAGAATATCTGTTGAACATTCTTCTCAGAGCAGCACTGATCTCCCTGTTGCGCAGACAGTAGATGAGGGGGTTCACAAATGGGGGCACCATGGTGTAGAACATGGCGGTCAGCAGGTTCCTAAGGGATGGTTTCTTTGCAGTGGGACCTAAGGCAGCGACCACCTCAGAGATGAGAAACAAATGGAGAATGGCCAGCTGAGGGGTACAGGTGGATAGGGCTTTGTTACGGACTTTCTTTGAGTCGATCTTGAGCACAGTTGAAAATATATTAACATATGATATAAGCATAGATATAAAACATATTAAGACAATGGAAACACTTACAGTAATGAGTACAAATTCATAAAACTGGACATCTGATGATGATATGCTAAGAATTTGAGGAACATCACAGAAATATTGCTGGATCACATTGGTCTTGGTCAAGCAAAGCCTGAATAGGGTTCCTGTGTGGACAGCAGAGTAGACCAGACCGGAGGCCCAGGAACCAGCTACAGCCTGGGAGCACAGACTCGGGGTGATGATGAACCTGTAGTGCAGAGGGTGGCGGATGGCCACATAGCGATCATAGGACATGACCACCAGGAGGGCAATCTCCACAGCTGCAAAAAGGACATAGAGGAAAACCTGTGCAGCACACCCTGTCAGGGATATGGTCTTATCGCCTGTCATGGAATTCACTACAGCCTTGGGAGCGACAACTGAGATGCTGCCGAGGTCTACGAGGGCCACATTGCTTATAAAGAAGTACATGGGAGAATGCAGATGTGTGTCTGTCACGATGACAGTGACAGTCACAAGATTCCCCATCAGTGATCCCAGATAAATCACTAAGAACAGCACACCTTGCAGGACCTGGAGCTCCCGGGAGGCTGTGACATCCATGAGGAGGAATTCTGTGAAAATGGTGAGGTTGTTCATGTCTGCCCACCTGCCGTGCTCTCTGTAGACACAGAGGTTACAGTGTGAGGGTGAGGTTATGTGTAGAATGTAGAACACATTTTTTTTGATGAAGGGGATAGTACTCAGGCACTTTTGCTTGAGAGTCAGGTGACAGAACAACTGAGTTAAATCCCCAGCTCCATGTAGAACACTTGAGAACTACAGTGAGGCTTCTAATGAGAACCCCAATAGAGTTAATGGACACAGTTAATCTAGTTTTCTTCACAAACTGCATGCACACTTTCCATGCTACTCCCTGTCTCACACTGCTGCCACATGTTCCATGCATGTGTAATCGTCAGACATGAGAAGTACTCAATAAAGTACTTCAACTCATCCAGGGCCCAGCAGTCTTTACTTATTTAGCATATTTAAGTGTTTTGCAGTTCTGTTGGAAACCTTGATAGGTTTTTCAATTTCCCTCACTTTTGGTGTCTATCCTTGACCTGCTCTATGAGAGACTGTAAAACAACCATAGGTATTCCAAATCCCTCGGGTGCTTCTCTGTGTCTAGGTCCTAGGCTGGAGAATGACTGTGCAGCGTTTCCATCTGTAGCCGATGCTCTCATCAGTTCTCCCTAACAGATCCAATGCGTGAACCTGGTCGTCTTTGACAATGACTTTGATCTAAAGGACACCAGACTGGTCACACTGCTCCATTCTCTCACTTCGGATGCTCTTCCACACCTGTGTGTCAGGACTATTTCTCCGCCTTTGTGCTATCATCCAGGCAAAATGTTACTTCTCTGGGGAGGTATAATTTAGTTTTACTATCAGCTTTTTTCTTTTTTTTCTCTTTTTTTTTCTTTGGTACCAGGGATTGAACTTGGGTCCTTGCCCTTGCGAGGCAGGCCACCGAACTGCTGAGCTAAATCTCCAGCCCCTACTATTGGCTGTGTATAGGCTTTTCCCATCTTGTACCTCCTTGTCTCTGTATTTTATAAAATGAAAAGGAAGAGAAAGAAAGACAGAGATACAGAACAAAAGAAAGACAAAAAATAAAGAATGAATGAAAGAAAGGAAGGAAAGAGAAAGAAAGAAAGAAAGAAAGAAAGAAAGAAAGAAAGAAAGAAAGAAAGAAAGAAAGAAAGAAAGAAAGAAAGAAAGAAACTTATTGAAGTAGTTCTCCTACATACAACCCTCTCTGTGGAATGCATTCTAATAGTTAACTAGGTGCGAACGTGCTAACCACAATTTCCCTCCTCTTTCTTACATATCTTTTGCTAAAATATTACTGTTCTTGTCATTCTTTCATATTTAATTTATTTTCCTGTGCTTCTTTTGAAGCATTCAAAACACAAGTGATCTGTTCACCACTTATCTTTTTAATGTTTAACTTAGTTATATAAAGAGGTCTAATCTCATTATTATTTTATTTTTATTGACACAAAACAGAATTGAGGGATTATAGTATTGAAAATATCATCATCCACACTTTATACTAAGCAATTATATTGCTATTGCAACAACATTCACAATTCTGCTTTACATGTGCATGAAAATGATTTACTGTCAGTGTCACATCCATAAGGCTTTCAATTATTTCACATAATTTATAGGATTTTTTTGGTCTGGTGATTCTTTGAATTGCACATGTTGTTTTCTCCCCTTAGCCTTACTTTTCTAGTGAAGAGAAAATCCTATGAGCACTGAATGTCAATCTCAAATCCAATGCTACCTGATGGGGCTGATGCTGGGACTCGGTGTAGATCACTGCTGCAAACCACACCATGAAAATTTTTAATTTCCATCATCAGAATACCAGACAGAGTCATTAGAAACCAGGTTCACTTTCTCCATCTATTCTTATTTCATGTCCTTTCTTCTCAGTGCAAACAAATCCTCAAGTTTCCGTGAGCTGAATTCAGCTCACATTTCCATTGTGCACAGTACATCCTGATCCTGTGCAGAAGAGGAAATCCAAGGGCTATTCCCTCTAGTTTATGTTCTCTGTGATACCTTGGAATTTTTTATCCCTCAATTTTAAAATGTGGACAACAGAAGGAGGGTGTTTGCTAAATTTCCAAAATTGTAAAATGGGTGAGTTATAATATTATATCTAAAAAATCAGCATTATGTATGTATATGATATAAAATCTAGGTTTTATAAAAATTGCTCAGAACAATAATAATGGACATATCAACGTTTTGGTTAAGGTAAAGGCTATGTTTCCTTGCATGGTTTTCTTTCCATGAAACACCTTAATAAATTTCATTAGCATATAGATTTCTCAGTTACCCTTTTAAATAAAGCTCAAGGAAATATTTAATTTGCATGTGCTGATGCTCTATACCAGCATACATCTCCCTCACTATGATTTACCTTTTTGGACTTGGGCTACACAGGAAACACAGCACCTAGAAAAAACACTGGAAGAAGATAGGACTTAAAATAAACACCAGAATCTGATACAGTCAGTCTATTGTACAAGTACACATAGTAATATGGAGCTGAAATAGTTACCTTAATTTAAGATTTTGAAGTCCATATTTCACAGGTACTAGTATGTGACTTATGCATTACTAACATTAATAGAAATGCAGAAATTCACATGAACAAGTTACCTGAACAGGAAAGCCATGAGTCTAACCTCACCAACACAAATGTTACTTTTGCTCCATTTTAAGAGATTTGAGATCCTCTCCCCTGTTTCTTTCTTGAGTGAGGAAATACAACCTCACTCTCAGTGAGACTCCCAGTGTGGACCATTCACTGAGCCCTGCTCCTAAATAGCTGTGAGCCTGTTGAGTGTTGACTATGGGCTGTGGGAGTCACATTTCTGATGCACTCTGGGGACCTGGTGATCCCAGGGTCCAAGCAGTCCACGTTTGCTCCAGCATCTAATTGGCCAGGATGCTTTGGCCACACCATTGAGGCTAATTAAATGTCCAATAGATTTTGTCAGGAAGTAGTAAAGGAATGTAACACTTAATAAAAAGGATTTTTTTCATGTATCAGTGGAGTTTCAATGAATTTTCAAGCTCAGATCTGACCATAAAATTAATTTATTTACATTATAATAAATCCCTGAAATGTTGGCACTGCACAATGTGCTATGATCAGAAGATCCCGTGTGTCTGTGTTTTCCAGAGACTCAATTCAAGATGTTACAAAATTACTCACAACCCATACTGAGGCGAAATAGTTAAATTAGAGCATGAAATATTCATTCATAGGACTTCAGTTCCTGACCTTCAGTTGTCCTTCAAGAAATCCGATGTTGTCCTGTGGAATAAATAATACCAGCAAAGTATGATGACAGTGTTGATGCTTTCTAGTCCTATATCAATGCATGGTAGTTGCTTTTTTGTTCATAAAAGCCCCAAGGTGCTGATGGCAGACAGTTTCTCCTCAGAAGGAGATTGCTCCTGCACAACTTTCCCAGGCTCATGGACCCTGACTCCTCTCCCCTTTAGCCTCAAGCATTCCTTGTCCTCAGTGTAGCTGTTAAGATAGTACACTGATGGCGCAGTAAGTAGGAACTCGTTGTCCTCCAGCAAACCTTACTCAACACTGTGTGTGTCCGTGTCTGGTCTTTTTTTTTCCTCTGAATAACAAAATGCCTGTGTAGATGATTCTACTCTTTCAATGTGTTTATTTGTGAAACACTTATAAATTTCCAAGAGCACGGCATGGGCACTGGTGCTTGTGAATGTCTGATGGCAGCCTGCTCTACTGAAGCAAACAGCTGGTAAACAGGTCAATCCTGAGAACACTCTGTGAATCTCTTCTGAGGATTCTGACCCCACATTCATTGTCACTTTGAGAAGTAGGCCCACATCTTAAGCATTCATCATCACTCATTCCCCTCACATTGGGAACCTGCGTTAGGGGACTACCATAGAGAAGCCACTGCATTGTATCAAACAGGATACAGAAAAGTATGTACAAAAGTATGTACAGGACAAAAACAGGAGTATTTTCATGAGCCAAGATTCTCTGGTTTACCTTCTAATGAAATTTAATTTATGTATCAAATCCACAATTTGATGCTTTAGGATTACATCATATTTTCATGCATTCAGATTGGCAGCATTAATTTAGTGCTACACCAAAACTACAGTGAGGATTGTACAATTAAGTTATGCCAGAGATTCAGTAAGACAACAGAAGAAGGGATAACAGCAGTTTAGAGACAAATTTACGATCCTGATTTTGTAATCTTTAGTAGTGTTCAAAAACATCTCAATCTTCAGTAACAGAGCCAGAGACTTGCATATTAGTAGTTCTTCCCTCATGGTAGAAATGAAAGTGCACTGCACCCTGCAGGGAGCTCTCTTCATCCTGTCTGAGGAATGTAATTTTATCTGTGAAGTATTTATTGAGCTAACAGATATGTAATACTGCAGAAAGTGGAAATGAATTTCTATTGTACTAGAATCACAGCATAGCTAAATGAAACCCAATATTCATCTATAAATCTTAATTTGCACTAAAGCACAAGAAATATTTGACATCAGGCACAAAGACACCTAAGTGGGCATCGTTTTTGGAAATTGCTTCTACACTGGCTTGGCATAAATGTAAAGGAAATCATGGCAAGAATTCTACCTCAAACATTGTCTACTGCAGCTAAAGTTACCATTGCCCAGAATTCCTCTTCTGTTTTTAACCGGACTTAGGCAGACATGTCCTTGTACCATCGGTTAGATGAGCCTCAGAGACTCTGGTGACCATCCACACCCAGTGTTTTACTTGGATAACTCCACCTGGTGTGGTGAAAACTGAACAGAAACTGACACACAATCTACTCAGGTAAACAACGTCACTCCTTCTGGTATCTCATTTATGAAACATTTCACTGTGGTCAGTTGGTTTCCTGAGGTTGTTCAGAAGGAATGTACTCAGTCCCTTATCATTGTCTTTCCCCACCCATTCTAATTTTTTCCTTTGTGTACTGGGATTCTCAGTAAGTTACATGCTCATATGGAGCCATCTACAACATGTCACATGGTCACACTATGTGCTGAATACAGGG